GGGTGTGGGTGTGACCAAGCAGGGGCACCATTTGTGCTCCTGGGGCATGTCCAAAGCTCTGGATGGCCCAGTCCTTTGTGTTCCTTGCTTATCCTCTGTATTTCGCCTCCAGAGTCTCCTTAGCTCTCCCCAGCACTTCTATCTGAACTATTTTTTCCAGGACTCCTGGCTGTGAGAAGGTCTGGGGAGAGTGTGGGCAACTGTGGCCTACCTGCCTTCTCCCTTTCCAGCTCCCACACCCAGAAAGTCAGCCAGCCACAGCCACATCCACAGCCGCATCCAAGGGGGCCCCAGTGCACACCCAGGCTGGAAATACTTGGCAGCAGTTGCCATGGCAACAGGTCCTGCAGCCTGGACAGCAGCGGCGGTGGCCTTCAAGTTGCCTGTTAGAGCCTGAAAGCTGGGCAGCCTGGCACCTTGCGGGCCTCTACCTGGGCTGAGAGCGCTGAGCAATTGCCCTCTCTCCCCTCGGGGCACAGCACTGTGCCCGCTCTCCAGGGGCTATCAGGAACAGGCTGCAGCATCTCCAGTTTTGGCTAAGATAGGCTCAATGTTAATCCTACTGCTACTACTGCAGGGGTCCAGGGCATCAAGCAAGTCACTGCAGTGTGTTTTGAGTTTTTATTGAACCTGTAATGGGATCTCTGTGGGGAGATGATCCAGGCCATGCAGACCCCAGCAGAGGCCCAGCACCCCACCCTGCAGCTGGGCAGACTCACTGCTGCTCAGCCTGCTCTTTGCTCTGGTGTTGGATGCCCAGAGTTGCTCCTCCTCTGGATTCCAGGAGGCTCAGCAGGTGGCCTGTGTGGTGGGAGGAGCTCGAACTCTTGGCTAGGTCTCAGCCACTGGGTTTTTTGGTTTTTGAGTTTAGGGAAGGGTCTACAGGGTGTTCAGGGTCTCACTACTAGATCGGGTTCATAGTGATCCGCCTGTTTACAGCCTCCCAAGAGCTGGGATTATAGGAGTGCGCCACCATGCCCAGTCTCTGCCACTGGTTTTGGTGTTTATCTGGACCTCAGTTTCCTCAT